TGCAATTAACACGGCATCAGATCCCTTCCATCAGCTATGAAAGTAGCACTGCTCACACATATACCAAAGGCCCAGGCAAGTGTATTAAACAAAATAAAACCACTCTGCACAATTTTGCCAGAGCTTCTGAATTAGTTTAAGAAGAAAACAGGTCTTCACTTTTTCCTCAGTGTGTCCTTCAGTGTTTGTATGTCTCTGTCCACCCAGGACTAGAGACACTGTGATACCACAACAGAGATGAATAGCTTTGGATTTCTGGCCAAAGCAGAAGGAATGGAAAGATCATGAAAGATGACCAGTTTGCTTGAGATCTCTATCCATTTTGTAGACACAGGTGGTTTGGTTTAGCATCTGAAACACTGGATCCTGAAGCAAACCAAATGCAACTTCCATCCCTAAGGAGGAGCCCATAATTAGTACAAAGAATGGACAGTGCTGACAGGTCATATGGGCCTTATGGAACTGTATTTCCAGAAGAAGGCATTTGCTAGCATAGTCAGCACACTTTTGATCAGGCAAACATATTTCAAGCATTTAGGCTTAAAAAAACACTCTGATTAATGTACTGTAGGTGGAACATGATTTTTCACAGTACTGAATCTCCTAAGTGTTTTCTATTCTAGCAGGCAGATCTGTTCAAAATACTATAAAATAAAGCACCATGAAAATGTTGGAGATAGTTTGGAAGCATCATAATAAAAAACTAAAGTTAATAGTGGTGTTCAGTCAATATAAGAGCATTTTCTCCTTGGTTTCTTTACTGACTACATGGCCTATATTATGGGTGACTCGAATAAGGTTTCTTTCTGATCTTCCTGGAATGGTGAGGGAATTGGAAAGTATTACTTGCACATGAAGTGATTTGAGAGCATGCATGAAAGTGCTACAGAAGTGTTAACTAGCATTATCAGCTGTGAATAGATATCCTTATTATCAGCAGATACACTTCAACAGTCTTACTCTACTGTGCATCTGCAGCCAAGTGTGATCTCATTTTATACAGCAGCAACCAAAGAAATAGGTTGGGTTGCTTAATATTAAAATGCATTAGGGATTAATATGCAACTGCGTAACATCTTTTTTTAACTTAAAAGGGATGTGGCTCAGTACATGGTTGAGTAAATTTATGAACATGCAGTATTACTAGGTTCTGCTGTCCAAGTCCACTTTATACTGTAAAAAGCTTAACAATGCAACTATTTTAATTTATGAAAGATTTCTTCAGTTTTAAAGTGAGAATGAAATCAATAAACTTCCTCTTAGTTTAACTCTGGGGTCCAGCTGAGTCCTTGATGTGCTCACCTGCACTGTGAGAGTTGGCAGAAAGCTGGTTTAACTTTGCAATGAGTATACTTATCTCACGTGTTTCTGGCATAACAGTTCTAAGACTGACGTATTTCAGAGAGGAGAATTTCAAATAAAAGGTTATGTGTGCGAGCATAAAAAGCATGGGACTTGGAAGCCTTGACTTAAATCAAAGGAGCAGGGTGATGAGGAAGGAGAGGTGCTGGCAGCAGTGTGTATCTCAGCTCCATGATGAAAACGCCCTTTTGTGTCCAAGGATCATAACAAGGAACCTCCTGTAGGGTGACGTCTCAGCATGCATGGTGCTGACTGTACCCCATGGATCCTGCTGTCACCTCCCAGAGATGTTTTTGTTTAAAAATAGATGCTTAAAATGTCTTCACCCAAGACTTATTCTTCCTAGACATTTTTACTTAGCATGCCTACATGTCCCATCTAATTGAAGGACAGGAGAATGCAGGGGAAATTGCTGTGTTATTTATCCTAATAAATTAACAAATTATCCTAATCTATCCTAATAAATTCTCATAAATTTATCCTCTGGGAGACCAGAGGGCAAAACATAGAAATCTCTTCCCCACACCAAAAACAAAAACCAAAAACACCCCAACACCAAGAGATTTAATATATTTTTTTTAGTCACAAAGACCTTTTTTAATGGTTTCCATGAAGGAACAACTCAGAGCCTGACATGGATGTGCTCCACAAACAGAGCAAGATACATGGGGAGTGATAAGTTCTAGCTGGCTTGTGTAAAACAGTGAATTTGGAAAGCTCTCCCCCTAGCTTCTAGATAAGAGGTTTCCTCTCAAAGGCAGTGACAAATGCCAACCAGTCGAGCTGTAGCCTTCTGCCTCACAGCACATCATTTATAATGACAGGCAGCAGACGGAAACTCTTCCAGGAGGCATCACTGCTAAACACACTGTGTCTCATGACCTGCAGAGAATGTGAAGTCTGGATGCTGGTCAATAAAAAATAAAAAGGAGGTCCATGGAAGAATTTAAGAACCCCACAAAACAACTAGGTTTCCTAATGATTTACCTGATTTGTAAAATTAGAGTTTCTGTGGTTCTGCAGCCCCATAACAAAAGTTCTTAAAGTACTGACAAGTGACTAGCTAGGAGCACAATCCGGCAGGAACAGAGAGACAACCCATACTTAAGAAACCTCACCAAAAAAGCCATCTCAGCAGCCACCAGAAAATGCTGCTTGATGCGGATATAAATTTTTAGCCTGCATCCTGCATGCCAAAGAGAAAGGCTTGCTTTTCCTTGCTTTCTAATTCTTCTGTTTAAACGCGACTGCATCACAATTACAAAGCCACCTCTTGATGACTGATCAAACACCTCCTGCCTGGAGAGCAGGATGTATATATTAAAGCAATCTTATTTTCATTTTAGCCCCCAAATTTTGCTTTCATTTTCACACAAGCATCATCCCCAGTGGAGGTACCCATTCATAACAGAACTTTTTTTTTTTTTTTTTTTTTTTGATGGTTGGGATTTGTACGTCTGCTCCACAGGCTCCCCAGCCTTTGTGTATGAATGGGGGGTCTCCAGTGACAGGAATTGTGCTGCACTTGTGTTGACTTTTCATGTGCACTGAGAAAAAGTGGGACATTTAGCTAGTGACAGCAGAAATACTTTGGGTTGAACATGAATCAGTGTGAATCTTCACCTGCCGCTGACTGCATTTAGCCACAGCCAGGAGAAATTCAGTGGTTCTGGGAGAGCTGAAGGTAGAGAAAGGCAGGACCTGAGTGGTGCCTTGTAGAGGCAGGACCTGTGCAGTATGCTTCAAACATGTCACGAAACAAAACAAAACTTCTTCCTACTTAAACAGACAAGAAAAATGACAGGAATTGGAAATGCCTGGACATTCCCAACAGACTTTACCCAGAAGTATATCAAAGTTTGGTTTGGAGTAACAGCTACATGCCATTGAAAAATTACTTTCTCCCCTCAGATAATTTATAGAGTATCCAGGAGTGACCTGTCGTCATGATCTCTGCCTTGAAAGCAAACTAAAAACAAACAATAAAGAGTTTTGCATGGATTTATGCAGAGTTCCAGCCCTTAATTAAGCTGTCCGGGGCTGCTGAGTATCCAATCTGCTCTCAGGGATGATGGCACAAATCCAGAGCAAGTCTACTGAAGTGAAAAGTGCAAGTCCAAAAGGGAACAGAAGAGCATTATTTCTTGAGCTAGGAGTGGAGTATCGACATCAGAATTCACTGGAACCCAGAGCACCTTGCTTGTGCAGAGTGGCAAGCACGTTGGGCTGAATCTAGCCAAGGTATTTGTTTGCAGTGTCATTTTTTTTGCCTTCAGGAAAGTTGCAACCTGTCTATAGGAATCTGAATCCTGCTTCTGTTTAATTTGTACAACACAGTCTAAGTTTTTTTCTGGCCTTAAGGTGTTACAGGAGTATAGGATTCAGAAAGAGTAAAAGGACCGTACATTTTTTCAGTTACATTTCAATTTGATCCTGCCATGTGTGGCACATGTGGGGACCAGACTTCTGTCCTGGTTTGGAGACTCATTGACCTGAAAGTACTTCACATGAATGCAAGAGTCCTGCTGTGGACTGCCAGGGGTAGAACCCGGTGATTATCAACAGGGAAGTCTTTTTCTGGGAGGAAATCAATCAGCTCTACATTTCCAGGTAAGATAGGCTGCAACCCAGACGCTGGGGCTGTGTCTAACCTCATCATGTCAGCAGCAGAGTTAACACTGCCTTCCCCGGTGCCCAGGCAGTGATCGACAATGCTCAGTCTGTCTGTCTGGGGCACCTGCAGATAACCACCTGAGATAGATCAGCACAGGAAACCATTTTCACACAGCATGAACATGCAGGTGGTGAGCAATGTTAGGAGCATGATTATTATCCCCTCTCTAGCTAACTGTTCTGGGCCCCCTGCATGACGTCTGCATAGTTGAGATGTCATCACTCAGCCAGATGTTGAAGTCACATCTATCTAAATCCAGTTGGATATATGGAAAGTGTTGTCTATTTTGAAGGGCATAAATCAGGGGGCATTTCTATGAATAAGGGATTATTACTAAATCGTGCACTTTCCATTAATAGATCCCTATTAATGCTGCAGGTGTTAGTAGTAACTGCTCTTTGAAGCATTACTTAATCACCCCCTTTACAAATCCCTGTAATCCAGCTCTCATAAAAGTACATGGATTATTGATTGAGAGGACCTCTGGGATCTCTAAAATGAGGTTCAGCTCAGATGCCTGCACAGTGCAGGAGACGCACTGCAGATCACTCCCTGGAATGTCTGCCAGGTGTTTGCAGTTTCATGCATAGTGTGTCTTGGAAATAATAAAAATGGTGGGGGTGGAGGGAAGGTCATTCCCATCCGGGAAGACCAGGCTCAAGTGGAGAAAGGAGAAGGAGAATGAGGGCTATAAGTAATAGCTGGAGAGGTTGGAGGTGCAGAGGTTATAGGGTGGGCTACTTCTTCCTCTCTGGGAAAGCTGTGAAAGTGAAATTAGAGAGCAAGTGGATCAAACACATGTTATGTTCTTCTCAAAGCTGATGTACGACATGCAGCCAGGTCTGTGGCATGCCTGCAAGGCACACAAGCAGTCAGCACAAGCCTTTAGAAATGTTCTGGGTACAAAGTAGCTAGGAAGGTAAATTAATAGTTGGAAACCATATGAAGGGCTTTAAATAAAAGATGATCCCCCACAGCCCAGTGTTAATATTTTGGGATTACATCTGCAAAGCATAACGCTGGTTAGATTTGAGCCAGCGGAACTGAAACGTGCACATTCTCCAGGCTTAGAAGATCTTAATCGCTGAGGTCTGTGTGGCTTAGATCTGTGAAAGGTCTTCAGGCCCCTTACGTGGGGCTTGGACTAAATGTTGTTGCTTGAAGGTGTCCCCAAACCATGCTGTGGGGGAAAGACACACTTAGATACTTTTTGTGCCAAGAGAAAAGCAGTGCTATCTGCTGAATAACAACAAAACAGCAAGAAATAAGCCCCCACAAAGCCCCGTGCCCACAAAACTACCCTGCTTCCTGGGCTGCTCTAGCTGGGAGGTATCTCTACTACAAACATTTTTGAGCTTAAGAAACCTTGCAGGCTAGCAGGGAGGTCCTTGAAACCATAACCCCATTTCACAGGCACCACTGGCAATCCATAGTCCCAGGCCCTTACTTTGCGTAGTTCTGTTTGACTCCTCTATTAGCTTGAAATATCCCCATCCCGTGAGGCTGAACAGTGTGGTGCCTGGCATCGTACTGCTGTTTGGCTGCAGTTTCTGGACTGTGTGTCTGCAAATCTTCTGGCTGGAGCAGGCAGCCCTACAGCCTGGTCATGGGGAGTGGGAACAAGAGAGAGTCCCCACATCACCTTCCAGAGATGGCTGAAAAAGGCAGCCACTGCTCCATGGAAAATATATAAATGGGCCCTTCATTCATCAAACCACACTCTTCAAAAAGTGCTAGGAGGTGAAGAAAATTTCTCAAGAAAAAGTAAGGTTAAGAACAAAAATCAGCCCCTGACAGAAACACTTGATAAAGTGCTGTTTTCCAGGGTGCCACCATCTGGTCTGTGTTATGGGGAATAACCTTGATGTTATTACACTACAGGATTATTGTTATATAGTAGTGTGTAAAATATCAACCAAATGTAACAAGCACGAGAGAGACACATAATATCACTGATTGCTGGAACAACAAACAGTTCAAGAAAGCACTTATGTGAGAGGGCAGGATTTGGTAAGGTGCTCAAAGGTAAGCACATTCCCCCGCGGCTCTGCTGAATGGGCTCATTTTCTTAAACTAAGGCTCCAAAGTCAAATTCCCCCACCTGAATTCTCCAGCCTTTCACAGAGAAGTGGTAGTGGCTTGAACTCTCATGCATCATCCAGCTCCAGCAGGTTCAGCAGACGGGTGCCCTGCTGACTGTGCACGGCACCTTGTGGCTTTTTTCTTTCAAGAGGACTGGCCTGGATAAACAAGTGCTTTCCAAGGAGTATAGCTGCACTGCTCTGTGCTTGTATCAGCTCTCCATACCTGAAAGGGAATGGAAAAGATGCGGTAGAGTTCAACCTTTCATTTCATATTATAGGGCACAAAACAAAAAAATGACCAATGGAACAAATGTAACAGGGTGCTTGACTGTCACCCGAATGTTTCTGCTCTTCTTTTTCATCCCTGATGTGGGATTTTTTTCCCCCGATCTCTTCCCACTTTTGCCTTGAATTTTGGAAGATGAACAGCTAGGCTTTCTCAGTTCACTTTCTCAAGTCATCTTGGAGCACTTGAAGGCTTTTCCCCTCACATCCTAATTAAGGGTATATCAATGTCCCATTGGGACTGGAGCAGTTAACGAACACCATCCGGCAGGTCACTTATAAACTATTTGCCCTGAGATTGAGGGCAAACTCTGGTGAATTCCCAAGGAAAGAATCAAATGAACCTGTTAATGAGCAAAGCATTAGGAGGAAGAAAAAAAATGAAGCAGGATCTGAAGTCTTAAGGAAATGTAGGAAATAAAGGTTTGTTTATCTAATGGTTTTAGTGGTGTCGATGCACAGGACTCTCTCTCCATTTTAAAGCAGTTGCAAACAAAAGATTCAGTTGCAGATAAACTTTGGGAGTTTGCTTTTACATGAGACACCTGTAAACATTCCTTAAAGATGGAGAGGAAGAAGGATGTGCAGCATATTCAATTCAAGTAGAACCTGGCAGCAAGGATTTTGTATATTATCATCACCATCTGGAACAACAAGATGGGTTTTAGTCACATCTCGTTTAAACCCTCTATACAGTAAATCATATTCTCTGTCCCTGGCAAATTTAGTCTAAAGTGGTTACTACAATTTTCCAAAAAAGCTGCCATAACCTGAAGAGAAGCTCTTGGGGTCTTGCCAGCCTATTAGAAACCTTGTAGGAGCCTGGTTTGGTGAAAGTTTAGTAGATGATGCAGAGATCTCCAGTGTCAGTTTGCCTGTCAGTGAAATGACTCATGGATCAGAAAACAAACACACACCAAAAATAATATTAATAAAAAACACATGCTAAGAGCAACCAGACTTTTTTGTTTCGTTTTGTTTTGTTTTGTTTTGTTTTTTTGTGACTGTGTCTCTGAGGGAGCTTAGCCTTCACTCTGAGCTGGCCTCAAATGGGGTTGGTTTCTTGGACTTATAATTAAGATCTGACATACAAAACAACTAAAAGTTGTACTGCAGTAAGACAAAATGACTTCAAAACTAGAAAATATTTGACTTGAATATAGCTGCATGATTAATGTTCTTTCAGATGAAAATGAAAAAATCAGCTGTTTAAGAATCAGTTAATTTAAAAAAAAATTGTTTAATTGGTTTAATTGAAATTGGTTTAATTAAAATTATGTTTAAATAAATCTTCTCAGAATGTGTACAGCAGATAAAGGAAAATATCCTACATTGTCGCAACACCTCTTTCCATTTATCTGCAGAAAACATGCAACAGGACCTCCACTATCTCTCTGTGTCTCTGTTTTTGTTAGAAGTTGACCAAAGAACCACACATTTTTTTCAAACCTGAAGCAGCAATGCAGGTGGTTGGACAGATGAGGGGGAGGAGGCTTTGAAGTGTGACAAAAAGAAAGGATGTAAATAAGATTTTCTCCATCTTCTGATGAAGTATTTCTGACACAGAACAACGGAAACAATTATTATTTGATCCTTCATGATTGTCACATGACATTGGTGCTAGAAAACACATCCCGACTTTTCTAAAGTTATAACATGACCAATAAAAAAAAAGAAAAAAGGAAAAAAAAAAAAGTATGTTTATTATTTTTGCCAAAAACTGAAGGGCCCTAAAGAAAAGATAACAGAGAAAGGAATAGAGAAACCCTGGAATGGGTTTTTGTGATTTAAAAAAAATATATATAGAAACTATACAACTGCTGCTTCTGATAACAGTGGGCTGACAGCATCTTAAAGCCAGCTGGACCCCTTCCTCTAGGCAGATAGCTTCCAGGTTCTTAAATTTGTTGAAATTTACTGGCCCTATCCTCCTCTGTGAAACAGCTCCCCGCATCATGTACAGTGTCCATCAGCAAAGGACTGACAGCTGCTGGAGGTGTATCACCACCTTCCACCACCTTCCAGCCACCCTGGGGGAGCAGCTGTGACAAAGAGGGAAATACAAAAAGGGGGTGAAGGGGTACACACAGTAAGGAAGGGTCTCTGTAGCCCAGCTGAAGGAAGAAATGAGGAAGAATGACTGACATCTGCTCCTGTTTTGTTTTTTGTTTTTTGTGCTGTTCCATGGGGACTGAAATAAATGGAAGTTGGTGGAAGTTGGGTGGTTATTCCTGCTTGACAGCCCCCACTCCCAAAGTATGGCTCTATGTGAGGCTGTTTTTGTGGAGTGTCTTTCGCATGCCCCAACTGCAGGAACCTCCACCAGCTCCTGGCAACTTCAGTAATGGGAAGGCCACTTCACAGTCAAAATCTTTATGAGCTGATAATTAGCCCATTTCTTTCCGTGTCCACTGACAACTACAGGGTGTTTTCCACTGGCTTCTCCAAAGCCCAGGCTTTTTTGAAGCAGAGTAGAACTACTTTGGTGTGGGGCACTTCAACAGGAACACTAAATATTTTGATGGATGAGGACAGCCAACCAACAGCCAAGAGAAGGGAAACTTTGACCAAAGACAGGAAAATCATAACTTAATAGGAAGTGTAATAATAAGTTACTAATGCCCACTGACTCCCCTTTTTCAAGGTCTTACCTGCAATATAGATAGTGCAGCACTGAGGTCCATATATTGACTTCAGAAAATGTTAGTGATTCTCAGCAGAGCCTCCCATTCTGTAGCCAGAGGATCCAAAACATTGAGATAGTTTTGGCTCCTTACCTCCCCAGATAACCCCTTACTCCATTTTTTGAGCCAGAATACCATGTTTAGCTCAAACATAAGTCAACTATTCTGACAGAGAAGTCAGCAGAGGTTTCTAGTCATTAATCCCAGCTGAATTGCTCCATATCTTCTTACAACACTTGCAGGACTATGAGAGTTGTGACACCAAAATACAAGAATTAGCCAGCTGGCCCCAGCCAAGGCCAAGGCTAGTCTGGCTCCTTTGTCTCTCTGTGTCTAGAACCAGCTGCCTCTGAGGAAAACTGGTTTCTACCACAGGCATTGCATCTACCATGGTTAAATTGTCCTCACAATTCAATAGGTGACTGTGTAGGTTCAAGGGGATTTCCACTTCCTCAGGTTGTCCTATTCCCAGTACTCTATTTCACAAACAGCTCAAGACATCAAGGGAACTTTCAAAGCGACTTTCTCTATTTCACAATGCCTTGGTAAATCAAACATATGTAGACAGAAAATCTAATAAAAAAAAAAAAAAAAACAACCACAACTATGAGTAGTTTTAATCAGAAGAGTATATTGAAATGTAGATAGTAAAACTGCCATAACTAACTGCAGATGCTAAAGAAACTATAAAGCCGCAGTCAGCATGGTTTGCCACATTACTGTATTAGAGCTGAGACTAACTCTAGTTTTACTATTTGACTTAATAAACTGACATTTTTTATTATTATATAATGCACCAAGCTCCTGTAGTTTTACTGTTGTAAACTAATTCAACCGTAGTTTAAAGAGAGATGTTTTTGTTTGCTTTTTTAATACACACAGTGAAGCTGGGAGAAGTATTTTAGTAATATATTTTCTGTGCCTTTCCCTTAACCTTCACATCATATACTTGTGCTTGAATACATGATTTCTGCCTGCAACCAATTTTCATTTTGCTTGTGCTTTCCTTAGAATAGGAAATCATCTTCCGTGATTTTTGCAGCACAAGGATTTGATATTTGAGACTGAAACAAGTGACGATAGGATCCCAATTTCAGCCAGATATAGAGCTATCTGAATCTGCCCTCATAGAGAAACACATATGAAATATAAGCTATTTTGCACACATTTCTTTCTGAAGTTTCCACAAGTGATAGTGATCATTGGGTCCATGAGGTAATTACCACAGTAAAGGACAGAAAGATCGGCTTCAAGGAAAGGGATGCCTCTTTTCTTCTTACACTGTCATATTGGTACACGCAGCTTAGCTCTTGCTCTCTGTTCACTTCCTCTCCTTTTATATCCCCACCCAAACAGTGGCAGTGTCATATTCTCTGGGAATTGTGAACTGGTGCCAGGCTGACAGCCATAGAAACCACAGAAGCAGAAACATTTGTAGATCTTACTATCCTTCTCCCACAGGCAAAGATGACACAGCTCTAGAGTGGATGGGGAGGAAGCGAGTTTAAGAAAAAGAAAAAAAAAAAAAAGAAAGAAAAAAGAAGGACCAAATTTCACATTACCCATCAAACTAATGTCAACTGACAGTGATTTTCTCTGTGTGTCACTGTTAATTGTGTTCTTAGTATTTTACATATAAATGTACATCTCAGTAGGCAGCCTCTGCAGCCAAGGAATATTATGGCAAAACTCAGGCCTGTGATACTCATTCAGGCTGGTGTATTAACATAAGCATTTAAATTACTGTATGCACACATGCGCACACACCTGTAGTAAAGCCGTAGGCTTTAGGATTGTGCAAAGGCATTGGTTCTCCCTGTTCCCTGACAGTGATCCAGGGCTGCCGCGTGTGGTCCAGGAGCGCCACGGGCACGACATTCCCTTCAGTATGGGGGATGGTGTTTTTGGGTTTCCTGCTCACACAAAACACCACTTGTCGAGGAAATCCTGGCACAAATGGCCAGAAATCCAAGCATGCCCTTAATTCAGACCTCATGCACTGCTCCAAGAGCATTCAGAGACAAACGGAGTTGACTTGGCAGTTTCCTTAACTGCCAGATTTTCTCACCAGACAAAAAGGTATAGGCCTGAACTTCTTCCTTTTCTTTTTTAGAATTAACAAAAAGAGCTGCACTTTTTTTTAACTTTTTTTTTTAATTGCAGTTGGTAAGTGTTATTTATTGCCAGTGCAAGAATTCTCACAGGAGACCAAGTTAACTTCGGTTCGAACCAAGACAATTGACCTGAATGGTCA